CTCTCGATTCACACTCAATAGCAGTTCTTATTACGATCTAGCCCAGATATGCTGTGCCTATTTACTCAACTTCATCAACCAGGATGAAGTACAGCAATGGATCAACGAAGTAGCACCACCATTCCGTAGACCTGCATATCAACTCTTTCATGATCTCGAACGTTCTTATCCATTTCTAAACCACGCACTTTTACGGTGGAGGACATATCAAAAATTTGCAGAAGCACAATCTATCTTGCCCCAGTGTAAGACTCATCTTCATTTGGAAATTATAGAAAACGTAGGAGCGAGAGTATCCTGGTTACGCTTGAATAGTTGGGTGACAGGAAGCTACTTCGCTGGTCAACGCCCAGCTTGGACAGACAACAGCACGAAACCTCTTTATTGGGCATCTGTCCTCGAATTACATCGCACAATATCTATGATCAACAATCGAGACTGTCTTATGGACGTTAACCATATTGGCGGTACATTTGGGTGTGCACTTCACGCCGCAATAAGTGTAGGTTCAGAGAAGGTCGTCGCGCAATTAATTAGCATGGGAGCCGATGTGAATCTTCGCGCGGGCAGTTACGAAACCGCGCTATGCACAGCGGTAACTTTCGGCCGTCACAAGATAGCCGAGGTGCTAATCCAAGCCGGCGCTAGCGATGCAGAAGGCGACGCACTTCGTGCTGCTTGTTTAGGAAGCAACGAGAGATTTGTTCAGCTGCTAGTAGAAAACACTGTGTACACTGCCGTTGCATGCGCTAGAGGTTTGGAAGCTGCTTGCCAAAGAGGTAACGAGAAGATTGTACAATTTCTACTGGCATTTAAACATACCGATGTCAATGCCGAATCGGAAGACGGTCTTGCTCTTCATATAGCTGCGTGCGAGGGTCATGAGAAGATTGTCCAGGTACTTTTGGCAAAAGGTGCTGATGTCAATCTTCAAGAGAACGGCGGAGGTAGCGCCCTTCAGGCTGCCGCGTACGGGGGGCATCAACAGATCGTCCGACTACTGTTAGAGAAGGGCGCAAATGTCAATCTTCAAGGCGGCCTTGATGGTAATGCTCTTGAGGCTGGTATACAAAGTGAGAGTGACGCAGTTGTCCAGACACTGTTGGAAAATGGGGCTCATCTCAACATCCGGCGCGACCGTAGTTTGGAAAAGGTCTTACAGGTGGCCTTGCGCAGAGACAACGACAATATTGTTCAGATACTTCTGGACAGAGGCGCCAGTTTAAAAAGCAATGCCTTAAAAAAAGCTCTGCGAACGGCTTCAAGCAAGGGATATGACAAAATTGTCCAGACTTTAACAACCAAAGGTGTTGTTGAGGAATAGGTGGTGGGAGCACAGCGGGCATGACGGTGCGATTATGTACGGTAGTTATCGGGTATGACTATCCTCAGTTGCCAGTTCTACGTATCTTTTCCCAACCGATAGCTTTCGCGATAATGTCTGGACTCCAGTTCTTTCGATCTGTCGCGTTGAAGTTTCTCTTGACAACCCACACTTTGTTATAACATCGCAGAGTAGTTAAGCGCCTCAGTTGCCGAAATTTGGAGTAGTGATCAGGATCATTTGGGATACTGAGAGATATACATGACTCTATCACTTTAATACTTTAAAGCTTGGGGCTTCTTATAATGGTTAACAATAACTACAATCATCTATAAAGCTACAGTACATCTTTCTTAAGGTTCTTTACTTTATTATAAGGGTGTTTGAGATCATCATGTTGATGAAGGACAAAACTCGTCGACATCACGTACAGCGAAAACGGAAGGAAAATCTCATTGATATAAAAGAGCCATGAGCTGTGAAATGAGACATGGGCGTTAGTCGCATTGACGATGACACTGCTGAGTTTCAAAGCTTGATCATGGTCTAAACGTTCTTGTTAGACCAATACATAGACAGGTTTCTAGTGCTGCTGCTTCAGGTAGCTTGTAGAACTGCATGTAAGCATAATTTCTCATTCTTTTACGTCCACAATGTCCATTAGCCTCCGTTCTAGTCGAGATCGTGACTAATTTGTCATACTTGCATTCTCCCACTCTTCGTCATGACTGCCCTCAACACGATCACAATATTTCAACAAGTGATCATAGGCCTATAGCCAGTATGTATTCCTCAATATAACATAAAAAAACAATATACATAGTCTCGCTCCCGTCTCTGCATTCGCATTACGGCACTGGGAAACCGCCCAGGGAGAAAAACCAGTGCCGAGACAGAAAATATACCAATTTTGGAGAAAAGGGTGCGAGCTTCGCCAGCAAGTGACACCCATCTAAGCTTGAATGAGATTGCGCTAGGAATAAATATGGTATCCCCCCAGCTGTAATTTATTTGACGCAGTGGCCATTGACGCACTGAAGACCTCCCGGGTTTGCAGGGCAGTTGCCAAGATCGACCCAATGCAGACCACCGCCGCTTTTCTTCTCGCATTTGAACTTGCAGAAGCTGTTAGCAAGGAATAGTGTCGAGATGTGGAAGGAGAAACTTACGAGGTGGCCAGTGCCACAGCCGCACGCCTTATTTCCCTGGACTTGACAAACGTCTCCGCCCTTGGCGCAACCCTGTACCGAGGTCGCGAGGAGCGCAAGAGCAAGAGCTGAGATGGCGGTGAACTTCATCGTGATGGATCGCTTGGGAATAGTTGATGTTTGTTGAAGGTTAGGAACGGGAGATGGCGGATCTATGTGTTGCTATGTTTTGCAGATGGAGGGAGTGATGATGAAGAAGAAATAGCTCAGTCCTCGGGGCAGACAAGAGCATATTTATACATGAATCAACCACATCAATCTGCTGACAACACCTCAGCCCACCTACCTAAAATGAAGCTCTCCGGTCCTCTGTCAAGGTTCCCTGAATGAAGCGACACAATATGATCTCGCTATTTTAGTAGACGGCGAAACTAGTCAACATTCCTCGAAGACATTGACGAGAACAGTCCGATCCCCGATTAACTGGTCTCAAGCGCACCACTAAGAAAGATCATGATCATTGTCGAATGCTACTGCACGGCATGAGAAAGGGGCGCGAACATAGGAAGGTGGCGGAGGGTTTACGTATTGCATTGGTCATTGGTGATCGTGATGATGATGAGGATGGGGGCCGGCACGATCAACCTTAAAACATTGTAAGCCTTGCCAATTTGACCGATTGGCTGGTAAAAAAGCCAATCACATCGAAAATAATCAAGATCCAGCAATGCTTAGCCTAATTCTTAATTATGCGACATAAGCAATCATCTGATGTTTAAAACAAGCTGTGTTCCCCTAACCTACCTTACCTACCTAACAGGATTGAGCCCCACATTACCCCAAGGTTGATGCAGGAATCGACCCCTGCATCCGGGGTCCCTCTGATCCCTGCAGTGGTCGGCGACTTTGGCATTCATATGATGGAGGATGTCCAGAATCTGATAATGTCGACAAGAGGGACTTGGGATATACCATTTTAATTGAAACATCTGTTGCACCCTCCACATATGGTAGGAGAGACAAAGCCGTTGGTTACATACCTAAAATAGACCTGAGTGCCTACATGTAGATACCTACTAGGTAGTTCACTCTTACAGACCGATAGCCTGACATCAACACACCCCTGGAGGTTTATTCTTGACAAAGGAGACCACATTCTTGATTTCCTCAATGATACAAGCTCCCGAATGTTCTCAGCCCAACACCCCGGGCGGTTTGCTACAGGATGCCTTATTCTCAGTCAATACGATGAAGTTCAGTGCCTTAAAGTGCTCGCCCACCTTCGCCTCAAGGGAGTTTAGCAATGGGCAAGCCCAGCTGCTTCCCAGCCAACCTCAATAGGAATGTACCTGATGACATCCAACTTCTGGTCCACAGCACAGTAAATACCACACTCATCCAAATCTCACTCAGTCGCAAGACGATAAAGTCGTGCTGCTTCGTGGTGGAGGCTAGCATTTTATCGGTATTCCTATTCCCTATCCTCTGCACAAGTCGATATACCGCCATAGCAACAGGCACGCCAGAAAATCCACGGGAGCCAGGTCCATGCCTAGTCAGTGGAAGTGGGACGACACCAATCCGCAAACCCTACTTTGCAAAGTGGAGACACACGGGACTCGTATTGAATCAGAGCTCGAGAATCAGAGTGCTGCCAGCAATGATGAAAAGTAGGTAATGAGAGGTGCGGGTACAGAAATAGGGCGGTAGGCTTCGATATAAAGAAAATGAGGTCACGTGATGTAATCCCCATTGCAGTATTTATTGCATGCTGCGATCCAGTATCGCGCTTGGTAATAAGGTTAATCCTCGACGAATCTGCTTTATAGGAAGAAAATGGTGCCAGAGGGGATGACTAGGGTTTAATTTTCCTTTCCGACCTCCGGGTCTCCGTACCTATCACCGTGGGTTCTTCTGCGCAATATACCTCGTAACTGGCGAAGTTGCAGATGATGGTTAGGCTAGCGTTGGTGTCGTACTAGATGTGTGGTGTTCTCCATGGTTTCCTTGGAGGCTCAGCACCTTGCGCCTTTTGTTGAGCCACGCCTTTAGTGCTGCGCGTGGGGGCCAGAGATCTGGTGTCCGTAGTCTAGACCGGGAATTACTGTAAGGAGCAGTTCCCGCAAGTAACATCACCGGATCATAGTGCTAATAGGCATCTGAAAGACGGGAGGTCGAAAGAGCTTCCTAAGGCATCTGATCGTCATTGCCCTTACAATCGTATACTGCATATCACACATTTAGAACATCTGAGGAACGCTTCAACGCACGCGAGCCAGATCTGAGGGTGAGTGTTCATTGTTCACGTTGAGCCGACCAGAATGATTGCCTAGTTAGAGGACAAATCAGCCTTAAAAGAACTTGTGTGATCAATAGGGGCTGTGCCTGAGAGCGGCCGGCCGCCGCACTGTTAAATCCGAAGTGGGGATGCTGGGGTGTAGCTGATGTGGGCCTTTATTGCGAGAAGAATGGGAGTGCGGAGATTTTGCCTAGGCGTCATAGGTGCAGATCACGCAAATAGCAATCATCTCCCAGTGGCCCAGTTGGTTTAGCGCGTTCGGCTGTAATTGTAAAAGGTTGTGGATACCGAAAGGTCACCTGTTCGACTCAGGTCTGGGAGAATCCTCTTTTTTTCTCACTTTACTCTCTCTTTCCAGTACCTAGACAGATATAAGGTGTTCGATGTAGAGAGTTATAAAGCAGAGTGTTACTTTTTTCCAAGAACGAATAGTGCATGTATAATTGCCAAACCTGACAAATCAACAACCACAGTATAAGGACCGACTCACGACTCAAATCAGAACGGGCTAGTCTTCAGCTATAGTAGTCGAGGGGGGTGACGAGGACTACAGTCTAGGTATGTACATGAATAATGATTGTGCTAGGCTGACATACTGGCACTTTAGCCATAATATGTCGTCGGTCAATGTATTGGTGGTTCTGCGTTTACGAAAAATCCTATTGGCTTATGATAGTGATCCAGGGTTGGTGGCCAAGTTGAGGTCGTGGATATATATTATGATCTCTTTTTGCCGCGCAGAGACTCTGTGTAAGGTCGTAAAATGTTTATTTTGGTCACCCAAGAGGGCTTATCCTAACTGTTAACTTGAGTAAGTCCCTTCCATGTTACAAGGTTACAGCAAACTATTGTGATCAGAGATACTCGTCTTCAAGCATTGTTGATAGAAAATGGACCGATATAAAAGATATGAACAGTTATAAGTGTAAGAACGAGGATGTAGCAAAAGGGATCTTTCGTCATGTAGCCTGTACTTGACCAATTACAATCAAAAGCTTCAGGTATAGTGGCAAGACCCGTTTAATTGGTAGACTTATCAACATTCCGTGATATGGAGATCAAACGCAGTGACCTAATCATGGATATTATACTTTCAATCGAAATGGAATCTATTCCGAGATCGCAATATCTGTCTGCTAAATCATTCATCGTAACATCGTGATCATTATCCTTCTTTACTTTTTCTTTTCTGTTTAGACGCTCATGGCTCCCCTTCGGTCTACATCATAGGATGAAAGCAACGCCCCTCAACTGGCGTCTTCAGTCAAGCCGCCCCAGCCGCCTCGGCCCTCTTCTTAGCGATCCCTCCCATCTTATCCGCCGCCGTACTAAGCGCTTTCGGATCCGCACCCTGGATCATGACTTGCCCATTAACTTTGACTCGCTTTCCCTCCTTAAAGAACATGAACGTCGGCATGGCGGTTACGCCATACGTTCTAGCGACGTCCTGTACGTGGTCGACGTTTACTTTCGCAAACGCCAAGACACCTTCAATAGCGTGCTTTTGCGAGAGCGACTCGTAGATCGGGGCGATGGCTTTGCAGGGCGGACACCAGTCGGCATAGAAGTCTATTGCTACGTAGGTTGTGGAGGATAGCAGGGACTCTAGCTCTGAGCTGCTGGTTATGTGGTGCGGTTTTGACATTTTCTCTACTTCTGTGTTGTGTCTCAGGTTTTTTTGCTTTCGAGAGATTTGAAACTTTGACCGTTAGGGTTGAGGGACAGGGGGATTTGGACAGGAACAAGTCAACGTACCTCAAGAGTGGGTAGGATTGTGTAACCTCGTTTTATTCGGCCGTGAGATAAAGCTTTGCACGTGGTTTAGTCTAATAATTATTTGACAAAAAAACTTCAGTGGTGATTCATCTGAGTCGCTACCGCACGATTATAATGATGTGAAGTCGAATGAGTGAGGGCATTCTCGGCGCTTCCAACAACTCGATTGGTAATGCGGCAGTTCCGGACAGGTTCGGGCATGCCGGACCAGATTTGAGTTACCGAAACAGTGAGACTCGAGTGTTTGCCAGCTGTATTCAGCTGTTTCCACTCCAACCATCTGCTCTCCTATTTATAGATGATCACATATGATTGGATATCCGCCAATGTGCCTTCAAACACTTCCTGTGACTCCCATTACGAAGTTGAAACAAAAACGAAACGATGAACAAGGGATATTTATTTCTACTGTTTGAGGAACTCGTCTACAAATGGAGGTCATGGTAGGACTTTTGGGGGATTGTCCAGTCGTGCTCAGCCACTGGTCGATTGCCAAGGATGATTCTATTGCTGCAATGTTGAACTGCGTGTCAGTTCCTTAACGAAGGTCTAGTATAAAATTGAAGACAAATTCGACACGTAATCAACACATAATTGTATCCTGGTTTGGAAACTGGTCACAATCTCCTAGATTGTCCTTCTACCAGTATTTGTATATCTTACGCTACACTAATACACCAGCTTGAAGACAGTCAGAGGTTACTACATATGTCGGCGTTTTGGAGAAAAAAGAGCCCTCGATGCATCGCGAAGGTAATGCCATACCGTTAAAGGTCGCTGCTCAATAGCGGAGATGGGTCTATAATTCATTGTAACCAAATAGCAAATCGTTTTTCACAGGACCAATCTAAGGATGAGGACTTTCCATATATTATCATAAACACACTGATCGGGCTTTGATCGGAGAATTTCCTATGAACTACGTCGACGTCACGTAGTAAGGGCCTGAACATGGCAGGATTCTCAAGTGTCCTACGGGACCCTCCGAGCGAGAACATCGGCCAAAAAATTAGAACCGACTGCTCTTAACGAATAGATCTAAAGTCTCAGGTCTTTGTTGGAGTACCTCGAAAACGTAATTTATATGGAGGGCTGATTCCCATTTGCTGGAGAAAAAAAAAGGACACACGCACTTTGATGGGTAAGGTGACACCAACAAGTTGTCCGTTTCGATACCAAGAATAAGTTTGAAGATACTCGTAGCGAGCGATGCACCCCGCAACGCATGAAAAGATCGGATGTAATTCCTTATCTGCCTCTTTCCCCTTTATGATTGTGTATGATCGCAATCTCTCTTCATCCCTTTGGTTCAAGCCGAGTTCTCTAGAGCTAAACTGAAAATGTCAGGATGGAACAACGGACTTCTCTAGTGTAAGCCTTGAACTATAGTAGTAGTCATAAATCATATCAAATAGGCCTCTATCAGGCGTCTATACCGCTATTATTAATGTTTCGCGGTGTTCTCGAGTCTACAGGATCTATGGCAGGAGGGATGCTGCAAGGAGGATAACTCATTTCATAATTTGCCCCAAGCGCAGCTCTCCAAGACGTTCCTTGAATTTCTAACAAACTAAATATCGATCGCTTCATCAGCGGTGGTCTTCCATATATATCGTAACACACGTGATGGTTTGTTAACGACTTGCGACTCAGTTGTATCCTCCTTACTAAGGAAGGAATATCAACGGCAGCCGCCGTTGCCTGCTTAACTTGCACTTAACCAAAGTCGAACTACGCACGTATGCAAAACGTCCTTTACAGCAACCGGCAGTGCGTTTTATAAGGCCTAGATTGGACTGTGTGTGCGGTTCCGAACGATCCCATGTTCGAGGATTGGAACACGCGGACCAGACTGAGGCAGCGACAACGCAACCCAAGCAACAGATTTGAAATATTGAAACTGTTCACCATGCTGCAAAAGCACAAGCGCGAACCCCAGAGTGGGAAGTGAAAGGTGGAGAGAGTCGGACCGATGAGACGATGCCATCGTCAAGAGGGCCTAGCGCGCTTCTGCTGGCTCATACGCAAGTCAAAGGTCGCGTCTTGTGGGGGAAAGCAAGCAAGGGAGGGCCGCGGGTTGAAAAAGCTGGGGTTGAGGTTTAGTTTCACTGCTCGAAACCCTAACGGTCGAGCTACTGTGGACGATAAGTGCCACGCCACCCGAATTTTTTTGATCCTGCTTGATATGCCGGGAGGGGACCTGCTGATCGCACGACAGCGCGAAATCTCTTGACCATTCGTTCTCTCACGTTGTCTTCTCATCCCATGTGGGAAAAAAGAGGCACTGCGCAGGAACTGACGAGTACGTATGCAGAGGACACAAGGAACTGTGTCGGATTTCGGCAAGGCCAGCCGGGAAATTTGTCAGACTGTAACATTCAAAGCAGCGTCTTGCGTGTGTTCTCTCACCAGCCTCGGCAGCCCTTCAATGGTCAATCTTGTTTATTGTGACAGAGTTTCAATAGAAAGAGCATCATCATGCGACGGAATATCGATGGATTGAGGGAATGGAACACAATGGTGGGCTGACGAGGTGGTCTGTACTGCCAGTAATTGAGGCGCTGGCTTCTCAATAAGTCTTCCGCGGCGCCGAGCGCCAGAGCTAGCCACGCAGAGATGAGTTGCACTACCCCGTGGTGTGACGCTTTTTTAGATGACACAAGTGTGGCATTGAAACACATAATTATAACTCGAACATCGACCGCTACTTTTGCCAAGTCTCAATGGTAAGAAAGTGCTCACCTAAGAACGGGCTATGATGTATCGTGGAGTCTGCCAGGAGTCAGTTGATCCCGAGGTAGGCAAGGGTGTTGTTCAGAGTAAGATTTGGAGAACATCGAACACGTAAAGTTGCTCGTTGAAGATAGCAGGGGAAGACCCACGGCGGTGGTTGAGTTGCTGAATCTTGTTGCCAGCATGCAGGTACCAGGGATGCATGAATTGTGAATTTCCCAGGCAATGGTCTGAAGTCGGAAAAGACGGAGGGAACACCAAATCGAGTAAGAGGTGGGTGTTTAGGTCAGGAGCAACCTTGGCAACTTGGCAAGATAATCTACAAGGAGTGGAAGAAACTGTCAAGACGGGAAGGCCGTGGACAACCAACAAAGGTACTTCATAATACTGTGTGCTATGCGTCAGCAAAACTGTGTAGATCCTTGGTAGCATTTCTTGGGCGAGCGATTCCTTGGCAAACTTGGCCTCATCAAGCTAGATCGATCACAATGGAACTGTTCTAGCGCCCTTCGTCATCCTCGATTCCTCGGTAATCGGTTTCTGGATTTCTATTTGCTGCCTGCAAGATGTGTGCATTTTTATTTATAAACTCAGTCACCTCTAATGAGCGAGGGATGCGCATCAGCCGCCATCTTACTCTTGCTTGCAGGCGGAGGTGAGAGTGCACTTTAAAAATGGACAACAGGCTGTTTCCCTTGGGTTGTGAATATCCTGTTAATCAAATGGCGGCATTTTGCCCATCCGATGTCCGTTACCATGGGATTCTTATTAGTGTAGGTTGCATTGTAAGATGGAGAAGGCAACCCGGCCGGT